TTCACAAGTTGGACCAATAAAACCAGTTTGACCAGTTCAGTTTGAAACAGGTAGGCAATTAAACGTAACGGCCCTTTAATAATAATAATAATAATCACCATCAGCGTTCTCTGTTGACTTTGCCAGAAACAAGCAACTAACAAGCAACTTAACAATGAATGAAAGTTCTAACAATCATTATTAGCCGCTCGTTATTGATCATTAGCCACATCAAAGGTGTGGTATGATGAGTGATCTCTAATAAAACTCAATAAAATGATTGCCCTGCAAGGTGGTCTGATCGTTCCACATGAGTCCTAGCAGGTATAAATAATGAGTGGAGGAATTCGGAGGTGTTAAACATCGAGTTCACACTTCAGTTAACGGTTCGGTGATTGTTTCGAAATCTGATCTGTTCTGATTTTTAGTTGTTTTGCAGTTTTGTTTGAAAAGATTTCAATTAAAATTATTTCAAATCATCGACAGAACATTCATTGCCTGTTGAAAAATTGTCAGAAAAAAATTTGTTTGAAAAAAAGTTGTTGCAACAACAACCGTCAACATTTTAATTCAACTTTGATATTTGTTGGCAAGGCAAACCAAGTTTAAAAAAGATAAACGAGGATATTCGGAGGAAGTTTCAAACTATTGACGCAACAACGACACTCCTTACTTGAGAACACAACAACAACAATTATTGTAACAACAGTTGACATCAATTACAACAACAACAACATCGACGACAACAACATAGACAACAACATCATTAACACCAACATCAACAACAACATCAAGATGCCTCTCTTAATGACCCAGACAAATTTTTACGACAGAAAGAGATCAAGAGATAATGATGATGATTTTCAAGGTTAGTTTTATTTTTTTTCATTCATTCATTCATCAATTAATTTATTCATATATTTTTTGTTTGCTAATTATTAAAAATGCGTACACACACACACACGTACACAGATCACACAAGTGTCCAACACAGAGTATTAACTCGATAATAAGGTTTAAATAATAACAACAACAGCAACAGTTTACCATTATAGTAAAATTATACAACAATAAATTTTCAATGACATTAAAAAAACAACAAAAACATTAACACACAAAATACAACAACACTAGCACACAAAACAACAACACACAAAACAACAACAACACTATCACACCAAACATCAACAACAACAACATTAACAACAACAACAACAGTAATAGTATGCAGTAAAGCAATATCATGAAAAAATTATTACTATTTTTATTGTTGACGAAAGCAATTTCTTTACTGAATCAGAACTCCAAATACATGGGCCTCATGCTGTTTGATGCTGTATTAAAATCTGCACTTTACACACACACTCACGCACACACATACACACACACACACACACGCACACACATACTACACATACACGCACGTTTATGCATATGCAATATGCACACACTCACATACATCGGCATACAGACATACAGATTGATACTCACACACATATACAAAGACAAAATCACATACACATACATACATGCAGATTCACACACATACAAACACACATCTACCTTAATTCTCACAATTACAGTTTGAATTAAATCGCTTTTAATATCATACCAACACAGCATCATGTCATAATTAGAGGTTATATTAATTATACATACATACACACACACACACATACATACAAACAAACGTACATACACACACACACATACATACATACATACAAACAAACAAACACACATACACACACACATACCTACATGCATACATACACACATACATACAAACATATAACACATACATACATGTTCATATGTTTATAAACACGTAAAGATTTCAGATAAATACTAATAATTAGTGTATGAATACAAACAAGATGCATACTGATACCCGCTGATTCAATAAAAATCACACGCGCAAATGCCTATATAATTTATGAAATTATGTTAATATAAAATTACGTGTGCAAACACACTCATATACATACGCACGTACACACACACACACACACACACACACATACACACTGAGATATAAACACGAGGTGTTAGTGGGATATCCATAGAAATTGTAGTTGTCCTATTGTTCATATTGTCATCTCAGCCAGTATGTTGCCATCTTCATGTTGTTTTGTATGCCTGTACTTTATTTTGTGTAGGTATTTGTATATACTTGGATGCGTGTACGTATTGTGTATGTACGTACGAGTGAATATTGGCGGGTATTTTAGGTATACGTTGGTATTTGCCTGTGTTTGTACAACGGCGAATCGTAAATCTCTGCTTGTAAATGTTTTTGAGAATTAATTAACAATAATTCTACTAAAGATGTATGCATAAATAACTTTCACAGGTACAGATGAAAGTCA